GGGCGGGGGGCCAGGAGGGCTGTGGGTGGTGCAGGTGGTGGTGGAGACCGTGGGCGGTGGGCGAGGAAGGGGGCAGCCAGGCGGGCTGGTGGCTGGGGGGCGAGGAAGCCCAGAAGGGGCTAAAGCTGCCCGGGGGGGAGCAGGCCATGGAGGTGATGGGGCTGTTGCTGCTCTGCAGGTTCTCGGAGGTCCTCAGCTTGGAGAACATGGCCAGAGCGTCCGGGAAGTTGGGTGGCGTGGCTGGTGTGTTGCTGGGGGTGCACATCTGTGGGGGGAGAGGAAGAGGAGAGAGGATGGGGGTCAGATCCATCATGGAACACTCTTGGAGTCCCACCCTGCCTGGATGAGCTGGGCCCATCACTGAGGAACCCCAACTGCACCCCATGTCTGGGACCCCCAGTTCTGGGGGATGCTCAGAGCCCAGCTCTGGTTGGCACTGGGGTGCAGGTCCCCAGGGGGTGTGGGTGGCTCCCCCAGAGGTGTGAGGGCTGCATGGGGAGGGTCTCCAACCCAGCCAGGGCTGTGTTTGACCCAGCCAGCCTGGTTCCCCAGGGGAGGATGGTCTTGGGGGGGTGGGGGTGTCACTTCCCTTCCCCACCACCACCCCAGAATGCAAAACTCAGCAAGGCTTCGTGCACAGGGAAGGGGGATGCACTGGGAAGGGACAGAGGGGGCTTCCTCCCTGGGGGTTAAATCTACCCCAAATCCCTGGTGATACTTGTTGCAAGAAAATAAGAAATAAAAAAAAAACCCTTCACGTGACTGTTTTGAAAAAAAAACAAAAAACAAACAATAAGGCAGTGACACAACACACACACACACACGTGTGCCAACCACCAGCCCTGGACTGAGATTGGACACGACACTGAAGGGGAGGACACAGCTCCGAGCTTCTGGGGTAGCATTTGCTGGATTAATTAAAAAAAAATTAATTTAAAAACGAAAAAAAAAAAAAAAAAAAAAAACAAACCAAACTGCCATGTAATTATTGCCTTTCTTTTTTTTGGTGAAGGAGCTGCTCGGGCCGTCAGAGGGTTGATCCCAACAACCCACACACCAAACAGCTCCAGCCAGTCGTGGCCCCGACCCACGGGGGGTTTCACCAGGCTCTGGGGCGGGGGGGGGAAGGTGGGGGGTTGTGAAGGCGACAGAGCGCCCCACGCTGCGCTGGCAGCTTTGTTCTCTGCCACTCGAAACAGAAATAGAAACCGCGACCGTAAAAAACCCCCTCGCCCTGAGCCGTGCGGGGCATTTGAAAGCAGGATGCTGGGGGGGGGG